TCACACCTTTGATCCCAGCACTTGGGAGGTAGAGGCAGGCACATAAGAATTACAATGATTTAAATTTAAAAGCTGCTTGCAAAAAAACAAGCTGAAATTCAAAGAGAATGTCCTTTGTGATCTGAAAATAAATACAGTTAAACCTTTAATTTATGTATGTATATGTAAATATATGTATGCATGTGTGTACACACACACACACACACACGCATGCATATATATATATGTGTATATATACACACACATACATACATACATACATATATATATATATATATATATAGAGAGAGAGAGAGAGAGAGAGAGAGAGAGAGAGAGAGAGAAGGGGGGTATAAGTGTATTTATTCATAAAGGTATATTCGGTTTCAAAAACTCAAAAGAATTTTTGTAATATCAATTGAAAGATATTCTCTACTGCCAAAAGACATTTTGCCCTAGGAAAGATATAACTGGCCAAAAAAGGAACAACCACCCCCAACCCCCCCAACATTAGGGTTGGGGCAGCATTTTGTTTTATCTTCCCAGGAGAATAAAAGCATACAACTAAGGATTCTGGAGACCACTAGACAAATGAAACATCTTAAGAAAAAGACAAATGATATAACACAACAAATAATATAAACTGCCCAAATGGTTTCCAAGATGATGACGGGCTCCCACAGTAATGAATCCTCCTGGACTATAGTAACGATGCCACTGGGCAAAACTGCCCCATGCCTCTTCCACTACCAAGTTCTGTGCAAACAGCAAACACCTGTTCTAGTTCATTTGAAAGCTACCATTACAAATTGTTTAGGGTAATTAAGAAATGCAAGTTAATAATCAACCAAATATGGTTTTGTTGGGTTCAATTAATCACAAATGTTTTCTTTTTTCTTTCTTTCTTTTTTTTTTTGGTTTTTCGAGACAGGGTTTCTCTGTGTAGCCCTGGCTGCCCTGGAACTCACTCTGTAGACCAGGCTAGCCTTGAACTCTCGAACTCAGAAATCCGCCTGCCTCTGCCTCCCAAGTGCTGGGATTAAAGGCGTGCGCCACCACTGCTCATCACAGATGTTTTCTAAGTTAATCAGATAGTAAACAGCTAGAGACAAGCATCATTTGCATATTCAAGCATACTAACATAGGTGATCTTCAAAAACCTCAGAGATCTACATAATGTGGCATTTAAAGGTGTCTTATTAATTGAAGGCTTTTTTGACAGTGAGACAGGTCTACTCCTGGCAACACCCCATACTATTTCAAAAAAGATAATGAGCACTGAAAAACCTCCTTATGGAGTTTGCTTCAAATGTGACAAGCTGCCACTGGGCAAGACAGTTTGCTGTCCAAGCAGTGGACAACAAGGACACAAAGAAAATCGAATGTCGAACTCTGCCAAGACAAGGTGTATAAGTCCTTGATATATCTTGTTTCATAGAAAATTCTGTCAGATATTCTGGGCCAGTAGGCCAAAGATACAGATGCTCCGACATTGCCAAGGATTCTTGGGAGACTGTCCAAATGATCAGTAGTCTCTGTCCTTTCTATAGTACTGGAAGCTGCTTGCTCTACATTTCCTACTTATTGAGGTATTTATCCTTCTCAGGTCTCTAAGAGGCTGAAGACTGGATAGTTATTGCCTCACAGTTAAGCTTAAGTTACTTAGGATTCAAGAAAATGTTTTAAGGTCTAAAATGATGTTTCTAGGTGGCTAAGTTCAAGTTATGACAGAAAGTGATTTAGGTATAGAACTTTGGAGTCACCAAGATAGGGTATAGTAGATTACTTTCTCCAAGGCTGCCAAATACAAATAGACTAGACATTGTGAATATAATTCAGACAGTATATAGTTTATTGATGTTAGAGAAAGAGTCTTTTATTTAAACAAAAAGGAGAGAAATGCTGCAGGATTTGCTCACACTATGTTATTTACTGGGGGGTTGGGGGGGGGGGGGGGAGAGCTGTTTCTGGTTGTGGTGAGGCTCAGCTTTACCACACACCTTTAACCTCTCTGGCTGGAGTACAGCCATGCCCTTAGTACACACCTTTGATCCCACACGAGGGAAAGTTAGTTTGTAGAAGGAAGCACTCATGTTTGAAAGTGACTTCTTTTTTTGTTTGTTTGTTTTTGTTTTTCGAGACAGGGTTTCTCTGTGTAGCTCTGGCTGTCCTGGAACTCACTCTGTAGACGAGGCTGGCCTCGAACTCAGAAATACATCTATCTGCCTCTGCCTCCCAAGTATTGGGATTAAATGTGTGGGCTACCACTGCCAGGCCCTGTAAGTGACTTCTAATTGAGTAGCAAAGTGACAACCAGAGAAAGATTTTACAGAATACAATATGCCCAACTCTCACAAGAAGAAAGAGAAAAAGGAAGCTACTTAACACGCAATTCAGAGAGAGAGGACACATTATTACTGGGACAGCTGTACAAAGACAAGTTGCAGAGAGAGAATAAGCTAGATACAGATGAAGACAGAATGAGCCAGAAAATGAGATTGATACCGAAGATCAGAACAGATTGATAGAGTTAGTATGAGATCAAACAGAGGAACTCAGGAGAGGCAGAGAGAGAGAAGCCAAACTGAATCAGTCAGTTTGGAGAGGAGTTCGAGCAGAACTGAAAGAGCCTCTCAGAGCTCAGACCAAGAATGGGTGAGCTTATTCAGCAGTAAGTCTCAGAGGCTGAAAACATTCTAACCCTAAGTTAGACTGGATAGAAGCTAGAAGCATCCAGGACTAGGCCTAGGTTAGCAGTAAGCCTCCAGACAACATTTAAATCAGGTGAATAAAAAATACGTTTACATTGGAAAACTAAAGTTTGTACATCATGCCACTGATACATATTCAACATTTTGATAGGCAACTTAGTGCTATAAATATCAATATAAAAGTAAGATAGAGAAGATGGCTCACTGGGTAAAATACTTGCTGTGCAAAAATAAAGGGCTGAGATTACAATACACATGCAAAAGTTGGCATGGTATGCATATATTTATAATCCCAACACTGGGGGAGAAGAGGAAAAACAGGCAGATTCTAAGATTTTAGCCAGTTTAGCCTAAGCAGGATCTGGGTTCCGTGAGTGGTTCACAAAGATACACACATGCACGTGACACCTGTAAGTAAAAAGGATGTAAGTAAACAAAATTCTGTTGTTTGTGTTCTGTGTGCCAGTGCTGGAAGACAACAGTAACTAACACATGCCACTCATTAGTCAGATTTCTGTCTATCACTGTAACAAAATACTGGAGATAATCAACTTAAAGAGATGCTTGGGCTGGAGAGATGGCTCAGCGGTTAAGAGCACTGACTGCAACCACATGGTGGCTCACAACCATCTGTAATGGGATCTGATGCCCTCTTCTGGTGTGTGTCTGAAGAGAGCAATGGTGTACTCGTATACGTTAAATCAATCACTCAATCTTAAAAAAAGAAAAAGAAAAAAGAGATGCTTATTTCAGTTCCTTTGTTTTGAAAGCTTTGATCCATGCGTGGCTGATGATGTTGTTTTCTGGCCAGCAGTAATGTAGCATATCAGAGGGAAATTGAGCAAAGACTGTTGGCCTTATGGGCAAGAAGCAAAAGAAAAAGAAGAGAAAGGAACCCCAAAATCCCATTCAGGGGCTCTTAATGACCTAAAGAAAACCACTAAATCTTACCTCTTAAAGGTTTAATCACTTCCCAATACCACTACTCTGGAGAACACAACTTTAACAAAAGCCTCAGATGGGCATTAAAGATAGAAAATGTAGCAATTACATGGCCACAACCATTATAGACAAAACAGAATTTTAAGCCGGGCGGTGGTGGCGCACACCTTTAATCCCAGCACTTGGGAGGCAGAGGCAGGCTGATTTCTGAGTTCGAGGCCAGCCTGGTCTACAGAGTGAGTTCCGGGACAGCCAGGGCTACACAGAGAAAAAGGCAGAAATTGATCAGCAGTTTCATAATGCTTACAGTTCTATCCTTGTGCCCATATTCAACCTAGAAGCTAGAAATATAAGTCAATTCAGGAGGCCAGAGAGATGGCTCAGCAGTTAAGATGCTAAAAGCAGGCACTGCTCTTCCAGAGGACCCAAGTTCAGTTCAGTCCCTAGCACTCAAGTTAGGAAGTTTACAAAAGCCTCGAACTCCTGCTAGCCTCTTCTGCCCTCCATAAACACTGCATTCATGTATACACACACACACACACACACACACACACACACACACACACACAAATAATTTAAAACAAAATATTTTAAAAGTCAATGTGGTAATTTAGATGAGAGGGTGAGAATAGTCCCCATAAGCTCTATGTTTAAATACTTGGTCTCCAACTGGTGAAACTGTTTGAGAAGAACAGGAAAGTGCGGCCCCTGTTGAAAGAGGTATGTCACTGCAGGCAGCTTCGGGGGGTGGTTGGGGTGGCGGGTGGGGAGGGGGTTCAGAAGACTAGAGCCACTCCCCATGTGCTCATGCTCTCTCGAGTTCCTGCCATGCTTTGCTCCATCATCATGGACTCTAACTCTGTCAAACCATAAGTCCAATGAGATGATTTCTTTTAAAAAGCTGTCAAGGTGTTCTGTCGCAGCACAGAAAGTCTATTTCAAAGGTTATAAAATCTTACCCAACCCAACTAACAAACTAATGTGAAAACAAATTTTAAGAAAAATATACACATGGCTTTATTTCTGAAGAAAGCTCCTTAATGGATTTCAGTTTTCTTCTTGCTGTTCTTTATACTCAAATGTCTTTTTTTTTTTTCCTGAGAAAGGTTCTTACTGTATATACCCTGCATGTCCTGGCCTCCTGCTTAAAGAACTCCTCTTACCTCTGCCTCCCAAATGCTGGGATTACAGGAACATGCCACCATATCCAGCCAAAATCATTTCCTTTTCTTTCTTCTTTTCAGCACCCAGGGCCCTACACATTAGGCGAACTCTCCAATACTAGCTGTACCCCAGCTCACTTCACAAGCACGCATGTCTCTTGGTGCTTGAGTCTAGAGTGAAAGCTGACTCATCTGAAATCGTTACCTTGTTGATGCTGTAACACTGTCTGATTCCAGAATGTTTTCAGTCATCCTTAACTGCAACACCTCTGGCATGCCAGCTGACTTTTCTACACCTTCTTCTGGAAGTTCTTCTATATGTTCCAGCTTTTCATCTTCCTCTTCTTCCTCAGAAAGTTCATTAACCTACATACACAGGAATTTCAGGATTAAATTTAATAAAGTTTATTAAAATACATTATTCTAAAAATAATAGTATAAAGGCAAGCACCTCATTTTTAAATTTCCTAATCCAATCTCTCCTATAAAGTGCCAACTTTCTTATATTAAAATAAAACTATAGAACAGGGAAAACATTTACCTAACATGCTCAAGGCCCCAGGTTCAATCCCCAATACTGCAAAACTAAATAAATAACAATAAAAATAAAACAAGTATAAAAACAAAACAAATGTAACTTTTTAATTTTAATTTTGTTTATGTCAAACAGCATTTTGATGCAGGACAAATATGAATGTTACAATCTTAAAAAAGCTTGTATGTTATCTTCTGAAGAACTGCAGGTAGATCATAATTCAAGGCAGTGTACCATATAGACCATGACATGTTTCAAGGCACAGGCCAAGAAGATTTTGTACTTTTCCACCACCTGGACCCTCTTACCCCCTCCCCTTGTAAAACATGCTATAAAAAAGCATTTCATGTTCAAAAAAAAAAAAAAGAAATTAAAAAAATAAAAAAAATAAAAAAAATAAAAAAGTAAAAAATAAAAAAAAATAAAAAATAAAGCTTGTATGTAACAGTAAGAATGCTTCATTTTTGCTGGGCGTGGCAGCACAGGCAATTCCAACACTGGGGAGGCAAGGGCAGGATGATCACTGAAAGTTCCAACTGGCCAGGACTACACATTAAGACCTGTCTCAAAAAAAATTTTTAAGGATTTTTCTAACTACTTTTATAAATTTAATGAAAGACGTCTAATTCCTTTCTCCATTTTCTAGATATATTAAACAGCCATTTAATAGTAAGTGTAAAAGAGAGGGCACAAAAATATTGACTTGGGTGGAACATTATCTGTACACCTGGTAATTAGGAGACAGGCAGAATTATTAAAAGTTCAAGGTCATCCTACACAGCAAGTTAGAGGACAGCTAAGAATATATAAGGGGGAAATTAAGTGGTGATTTCAGCTGAGTTGGCAAACTTGTCTTTAGTCACAGTACTCAAGAGGCAGAAGCAGGCAGATCTCTGTAAGTTCCAGGCCACCCTGGTCTGCACAGAATGTGTCTAGGCAAGCCAGAGACACACAGTGAAACCCTACCAAGGAGAAAAAGAGGAGTGAAATGCTTTAGGTGTTAGCTATGTTTCAGAAAATGTCAGCTAACTTCTGATCACATTTTTTTTTTCATGAAGAAATGGAACCCTAGCTAGTGATGTAACTCTGTGGTAGAACACTTGCCTCGAATTTACAAGGTACTGAGTTCGGTCTCCATCATTGTCCAAAATAAATAAATAGATAGATAAATAAATAAATAAATAAATAAATAAATAAATAAAACAAAATCCTGAAACAAAGAACTTACATTTTAACTACTTTTCAAGTAATTTATTTTACTTTACATGCACTGGCATCTTGCCTGAATGCGTATCTGTATAAGGGTAGCAGATACTGGAATTACAGACAGTTTTGAGCTGTCACGTGGGTGCTGGGAATTGAACCCAAGTTCTCTGGAAGAACAGTCAGTGCTCTTAATCACTGAGCCATTTTCTCTAGCCTCAGATTTTAACTATTAAACACAAAGTTGTAATTATATTTTTCTAGTAGGATGTTTAAAATGTCTCCATCATCAAACCAGCTATATTAAGTAATCACTAACAAAAACAAATAACAAAGACCACTAAAATACTAACAAAAAGTTAACAAACCATTTCTAAGTGAAGTCTATTTTAAGGTTGTCTAAGAGAAGCAGTTGGATGTGGTGGTACAAACTTGTAACAGTTCAAACCTGCCTGGGCTCCACAGTGACTTTCAGGTCAACATGAACTATGCAGCAAGACTCTGTCCCAAAAAAAAATTATATCAAAGAAGAAACTATAAATACCTAATAGCTTTTATAAGCTCATACTAGTCATTAAAATACTGAGCAGCATATCTTGTGCCAGAGCCTAGTCAAAGTAGCCAGACAACCACAACTGATCAAAATAGAGAGAACAAGCTGACAGTAGGTGCCAGCCCTAACTGATAGAATAACAATAACTCCTGCACCCAACGCTCAGGGACCACTGACAGAGGGCATGGATACTGTAAAAGCCAGAAGGACAGAAAATTTGCTATGAGACTGTGTCTCCCAGAAATGTCAAACACTACCCCCATGAAGTCTTATCAACATGGCTGCCTAAACAAAACTATGTAAACCCCAATGGGAGCTTTTCAACATAACTGGTATCATCTGTCAGATGAAAACTCATCAACAATCGATGGCTGGAGGATATGACGGCTCAGGGATCCGCTGCTTGCCTAGCATACCCAAGACTGTGGGTAAAACCTATGGTACCTCAAAACAAGAACAGCAAAAGTCAATGGCTTCAATTTGTAAATACATGACAGATTCTATTTAATTTGTTGTGCTTATAAATGTAATGTCTCATCTACCCCATAAAACAGTGATGAAAAAAATCTTCAAAGGGGGCACTGAGCTGGATAGATAGCTTAGCATATAAAGGCACTTGCCATCAAGCCTGACAGATGTCCTTAGGATTGTTCCCCAGAACCTATATAGCAAGGAAAAAAACCAACTTCCCCAAGTTGTCCTCTAATCTCCACAAGAAACCATGCACCCACATCACCTACATATGTAATAGATTTAGAACTAATTTTTATTTAAACAGAATAAATACTAATTCAGTGCACCTATTTTTGGTTAAGAAATACTATTTTAACATTTATCACTTTAATAAAAAATCATTTTTGGGACTAAGGCTCAGAGGGTAAAGTGCATAACACACAAGTATGAGATTAGAGCTCAGATTCCGAGAACCATGTACAAAGCGAAGTAAGACGGCCAGCCTATAATCCCTGTGTTCAAGATGCAGAGTCAGGGTTCCCAAAGAAAGCTAGCTATCTAGAGTAGCCTGTCAGTAAAGTCTGGGTATAAGTGAGAGACCCTACCACAATAAAGTAAAAAGTAATCAAGGAAGATGCCAATGTTAACCTCTGGCCTCCACACACAGGTATACACACACATGCACATGCATGTTTGCACAAGTGTGCCCGTGTACATACAAACACATACACATCACAAATACACATACATACAAGCTAAGGTAAACTGTATTCTTCAGTTGTCTAAAACAGCATGCCACCCAAGCATTAGGGCCTCCATCTGGATCCACAGATGCCATATAAAAGCCAGACATGGTCATGTACATCTGCAAATTTAGTACTGGAGACACAAAGTCAGGAAGGTACCAGCACACTCTGACCAGCTGATCTAGACCAATCAGTGAGCACCTAATTCAGTCAGACCCCCATCTCATAAGGTAGAGAGCAACAGTGGAAGACACCCATACTGTCTCTAGCCTACAAATACGCATATACCACACACTCTCAAAAATTAAAAAAAAAAAAATGTAAAGAATTCTTTTTAAAAAGTGGAACTATGGAAATAAAAAAAAAAAAGTGGAACTATAAAAGCCTTAACTTCATACCAAATGTATCATAGTCAAGTCAATAAACCTTACATAACTGGCAATATTTTCATCAGCACTACTATAATCAACTAAAAATATAATCTGTAGGATTTTTCTCAATTCCAGTTCCTAGTACAATCCATGGAACTTCCTCCAATAACCGATCCAATTACTTAGAACAAGAGAGGATATAAAGGATACAGTAAAGTGTCCTCTCATTTCAAATTAATCCTTGAAAGTTCTTCATCTTTCCTTTGTCCACTCGACCTTCTACTCAACAATTCAAGTTAACTTGAACTTGCCCTATGTAGCTGCCTCGATTCTTCACTTAAGGAAAACCTTCACCCATACTTACATCTCTTCTTTCTTTGACTGCTGTAATTCCCTTCTCTAGGGCCTCGTGAAATGCCTGCTCTCCAGACTCCAGACTGTGGAGAATGCTGCTACCTGCCTTCTCAAATGTATAAAGAAACATAATTATCACTTCCATCTTCAAACCACCTTACTGGATTTTCATTATTTACAAAGCCCATTCAAAGTCCACTTGACTTTTTCAAGTCATTTCTTAAATATTCCCTATTCATCACTTCTACACATACAATGAATAAGACTGCCTACTTCCTTTAGGAGAGTTTAACACTACATACCTGGGTTAATGGAACGAAACTCCAAAACAGTACTGAATAAACTTGGCTTCCTTCAGATATCAAAATTAAAATAAAAAGCAAAGCACTACCAGATAGCCATAGGTATCTTAAAATATGTAAATGAGACATAAAAAGTATTTAAGTTAAAACAATTTAAACACAACTACTCAGAGTTTGAGATTATCTCGCTTTCACTGAACTACTTCATCAAGTCTACTAACAAATCAAAACTGCTTAAAGAAATATAAGTTTATTTTTTAATGGGTAAGAAAATAGACCCTAAAGACTGGAGAGATGGTTCAATGGCTAAAAGCACTGGCTACTCTTCCAGTACCCAGGTTCAATTCCAAGCATCTGTAACTCCAGTTCCAGAAGATCCAATACCCTTTTCTGGCCTCTGAGGCCACCAGGCATGCACATGGTGCATAGACATATACCCATAAACATAAAATTATTTTTTTAAAGAAAAGAGATCCCAGTAATTAGCAACTGATAATTAAATGTACATCCCTACTTCAAAACCCACCTCACTACCCTATGTCTTGGAGCTATTTTGCTCAATATACTATTATCTTTTTCTTTTTCTTTTTTCTTTTTTTTTTTTTTTTAATTTTCAAGACTGGGTTTATCTGTGCAGTCCTGGCTGTCCTGGAACTTGCTCTCTGTAGACCAACCTGGCCTCAAATTCAGAGATCCTCCTGTGTGCTGGGATCAAAGACATGTATAACCATGCCAGCCTTACTAATATCTTTTCCATCCATGGGCAAACAGAAAGAATTTCAACAGTCTTGCTTAAGTATCATCCTTTGTAGAGTAAAGCACAATATATTTTAAAATCAGGCTTTTAATGACTGAAAAAATATAAAAATACTGACCTAATGCATATAGACATATAGCTCAATACATATAAAGAAATTATAAGAAAAACCAAAATTATATCACAATATAAAGCACAAGCAAGGCATACCCTGCAAATTTTAGGCATCTATAAAAAAAAAATCTTGGAAACAGAAAAATCAGTGATATAAACACATATACGGCTTTTTTATTTTGAACAGATATTCATCTTAATTCTAAAAGAGCTTTTGGATTAAAATGTAATTTAAGGAAGGATGAGATGCCGGGCAGTGGTGGCATGAGCCTTTAATCCCAGCACTTGGGAGGCAGAGGCAGGCAGATTTCTGAGTTCGAGGCCAGCCTGGTCTACAGAGTGAATTCCAGGACAGCCAGGGCTACACAGAGAAACCCTGTCTCGAAAAACCAAAAAACCAAAAAACCAAAACAAAACAAAACAAAAAAAAAAGAAGGATGACATACAGAATTCCTTAACAGATAGATTTATAACTATCCAGACATTAAAGTTTTTTTATCAGCCAGGCATAGTGGTACATTCCTGTAATCGCAACACTGGAAAGGAGAGGCCACAAGCCTTGGCTATGTAAGGAGTTCCAGGTTAGATTGCATGAGACCCAGTCACAAAGCAAAACAACCTTTATGACAGCTACTGGCCTGTCCTCTTGATACTTATTCTCAAACAACAATAATCTGAAGCTAAGTATAGAAGCACATGTCAGTAATCCCAGCACTCTGAAACCTAAGCTAAGGGCGTTAGGAATTCAAGGCCAATCTATGCTACACAACCAGGTCAAGACCAGGCTATGTGCTACAGGAGACCCTACATCAATAAGCTATCCAGGTATGGTGGCTCATGCCTTTCATCCCAGCACCCAGGCAGCAGAGGCCAAAAGATCTGTGTGGTGGAGGCCGGCCAGTCTGTGGTCTGCAGTTAATATACAATGAGACTCCATCTCAAAAAAAAAAAAAAAATCACTTGAATTGTAGAAGAAAAACTTTCAAACAGATCTCTAACTTACAAGTTCTAAACTTGAGGAGTCGCAATAATAATAATAGTAATAATAGCTTTACAAAAAAACTGCAATTATTCAGACTCTAAAATTCCCGAAAGTAAAAATATAGGGACTAAGGATATAACTCAGGCAGAGTACGAGTAGTACTTCATAAAACCAAGTATGGTGGTGAATGCCTAAAACTCTACCAGGAAGGTAGAGGCAGGTGGATCAGAAGCTCAAGGTCAGTCTTGCCTACACAGCAAGACTGAAGCCAGCCTGAGCTACAGGAGAGCCTCCCTCCACAAGAGAAAACAGAAATCATAAGGTAACTTAGACAGTGGGTTTTAAGAGCCAAGCATGGAAGCTAACCCCAGCACTGGGAAAGCTAATGCAATTTAAGATTAGCCTAGGCTACCTACTGAGGTCAAGCCAGACTAAGCTAAACTAAGATCTCATCCTCACACAAACAATAAAAGCCAAAAGTAAAACAATCCAAAAATCAATACATAAATCATGGATTTGAATAATTTATTAAAGTCACAGAATTTAAGATTATCCACTAGCCAGGTGTGTTGGTATATCTGAAATCTCAACACTTAAGAAAAAGAAGTTATTCAGATTTCAAGGGCAGTCTGGGCTACACAAAACCAACAATTTCTAGGTTACTAGTGGGGCTGGAGAATGAAGTACAAAACAATTTCTACCATGTACTCTCTTTTCTAGCTCAACATTTATCTCAGCGATAAAACGATTACCTAGCATGTTCAAAGGCCTGGGTTCAATCCCCAGCGCTATAAATTAATATATAATGCCTTTTGCTAAACCTCAGTACCTAAACTGAGATCAGAAAGTAGGGGTAAGGGTATGAAATCCAATCTATGCCACATGAATTACAAAACAATCAGAGAACCGCCTCTAGTTTAGAAAGTAAATTCTATGTCAGTTCATGTCAAGCCAGTAAGAGCATATGCTTATATTTTCTAAGAAATAGGATATTAAGTATGCTCACCTGCTCAGTAATTGAACTCAAATCATTTGATGAAAAATCTTCCTCTTCATTCTCAAAAAACTCATAATAATTTTCCAGAAGCCCCGCCATTATCCTGCTCACAATTTCCTGCTCTTTCATATCTTCCACATCCGTGTAAATGCTAAGAATAAAAGCTTAAATTGAGCTGAGTTCATAAATTAATTACAGGTAAAGTGAGAAAATCATCGTGAGTCACTTTATGAAACTAAGCAATTTATGTCATCATTCTGTGCCTCAGTTTTCCCATCCGTAAAACCTAATTTGCACCCTGAACACAGCAATGCTCTTGAGAATTAATCAAATATATTATAAAAAATAATGGTTCACCAAGCATCCTATGATCCTTAGGAAGACAATATAATGATTCTATCTCACAAATCCAATTTTTAAAAACTTAAAACAAAAATTGTGAAATAACTTACTGGAAGACATCTGGACCAAAAACAGCAGCCAAAGAATTTGCAGACCAAATTTCTTCATGATGTGATGCTACATTGGCTAAAAACCTACATAGAAACTTTAACAAACTGTAATTAACAGGTGGAAGCTGTTGCAAGAGGAACCTCAACTTTCTTCCAAATTCATCTTCATTATTATAATCTATAAAACATAATGACAGGTTTTCTTAATGAAATAAAAAGCTCAGATATTTTGCCAGGCTCACATTACTCCACCCACATCATTTTTTTTACTATAACAAATCAAACCTCTTCACTTCCTCTGGAGAGGCCAAACACCTTAGGGGCTTTGCATTTCCCTTATTAAGTGAAAGAAGAGTTTAAAGCGGAGGTGGAGAAAAAGGACTCAGCCTCTCAATTACTGCAGGCTGTCTCCCCCTGTTACTCATGTGCCTCAAGTCTCTAATTCTTCCTCATGCTGTCTCCTGCATGACTATACCTGGGTCTCCAAACAAATGCCAACTCTAAGAAGTCAAAATACACTGACCTCCAGTAAACAAAAAATACTAAGGAGCCATCAACAAGCAATTATCAATGACAATTTTCTTCATGGACAAGTAAGAAAATAAGAAATGAACAGAGTGACAGAGGATTTTCTTCTCTCTTGGCACTCAGAAAAGAATCACTTAAACATAATATGGTCCAACTAAACTGAAAAGTTTTCTGCTTCTCATTTGGTTTTCTCCTCTACATTTTTTGGTTTTGTTTTTGAGACAGTCTCACTTAGCAGCGTAGACTGACTGGCCCAGGCTAGCCTAAAACTCATAGGCAATCCTCCTGCCTCAGTGCTGAGGTTATAAGCATAAACCACCATACATGGCTCTGATTTCTTTTTTTCCCAAGTTCATGTGATCACAGAAGCTACCTGTGTTTGTTATATCAATGAGTTTTCACTAACAGAAACTAGAGTTTTAGAAACCCCTTTAGTGGATGATGATCTAATTTCGAAGAATTTCTCAGAAGTACTTCAAAATAAAGTAATTTATTACTTTCATTTTTTTTCCGGCAGGTTTCCTAAAATTAACTCACAGGGGGAAAATGGTAAAAGGCTATTTATAACCATGATAATATTGGCCATTTCTGCAAGATGTGTAAACAGTTTCTCAGGAGCTGGGGAGACAGCTTACATCAGTACAATTCCTGCTGCACAAGCATAAGCACCTGAGTCCAGCTCCCCAACATCCCATAAGAGACCAAATACAGAGACCCGTCCTTGTAATCCTAGGACCAGAGAGGCAGAGGCACACGGATCCCTGGGGCTTGCTGGCCAATCAGCCAGCCTAGCTGACTCAGAACTCTAAGTTCAGGGAGAGACCCTATATCAAAAATAAAGTCGAGAATGACTAAAGACAACAACTGACATCAACCTCCTGCCTCTACACACACACACACACACACACACACACACACACACACACACACTCTCTCTCTCTCTCTCTCTCTCTCTCTCTCAAAGTGTATCAGGTATAGTCACATGATTTACTGAAGATTTTTAAATGTAACAATTTTTCCTATACTTTGTAATATTAGCAACTGTACGCTCAAATACACCAGTACTCTAATCTCATAACTGAACGAAGCATGCCTAGGAGTACAGACATAAACCACCACATGGTTTTAATATTTTTGTTATATTTAATGTTTTAATAACTTAATGTTTTTAAGACATCATTCCTGTAATTAGTGGATAATTAATTATAATTGGCTGTGGTGGTCACACCTTTAATCCCAGCACTCTAGAAGCTACACAGTGAGCTCCAGAACAGCCAAGACTACATAGAGAGACCCTACCACACAGAAAACAAACAAAAACAGCACATAGGCAGACAGACGGGTGAATAAGCATTTGTTAACTTCTGTAAAGAGTTTCCAGAGAGAGGGTGGAGGAAATGGCTTAACGTTCTGTGTGTGCTGCTCTTGCAGGGATTCTTAGTTCAGTTCCTTAGCACCACCAGAGGATCCGACAACATCTTGGGACTCTGCAGAAATCTGCACTTACACAGATACATATATATACATAATTTTAAAAAATAATCTTTTTAAGTTACTTATATCAACTAAAAGCAAAATTCAATTAACACTAATTATACCTAACATCACCAATTTAACATTATATATCACAACCATATATTTATTTTGTATTTATCATCTATTTGTCTATATATATTTTTTAAGCTTTAGCTCAGGCTAGAGGGGTAGCTCAGCATATAGAGGCACTTGCCACAAGGTCTGGAACCCTAAGTTCAATCCCTTGACTGTTTGTTTTTTGGTTTTTTGTTTGTTTGTTTGTTGGTTTGGTTTGGTTTTTGGTTTTTCGAGACAGGGTTTCTCTGTGTAGCCCTGGCTGTCCTGGAACTCACTCTGTAGACCAGGCTGGCCTCGAACTCAGAAATCCGCCTGCCTCTGCCTTCCAAGTGCTGGGATTAAAGGCGTGCGCCACCACCGCCCAGCTCCCTTGACTGTTTGGATCTCTGGAATCCATGTAAAAGTAGAAAGTTGAGGAACACTCAAGGCTGTCCCCTGAGGCCCATGCACACACAGTGGGATACATGCATACTCACACACAAACACATACATCACATACACACTTAAGGCTGTCGTCCCCTGAGGCCCATGCACACACAGTGGGACACATGAACACTCACATAAACACATACATCATATATACAAAACTACATACTTAAATTTTTTAATAAGTATTACAAACATCCAAGAAATTGTCACTCCCTTAACTATATACCCAGAGGACAAGCAAGGAAATTAAAAATTAATCTCTGAAATATATTTATTAAGCCACATATCAAATTTCTAAAAGGTAAGGTCTCTAAAACTAATGATAAATGACTGATAAAAACCAAACTATTACCTTGAGAAAGCTGCAGCAAGTGACTATGCAAGCTGCCAGGTATGACGGGCTCAGGGAGCTCCTGCAGGAAAAACCTAAGGAGACTAATGGCTGAGGGGACGTCCGCTTCCTTAACCAAATCCACCTCTTCTCCACTGTCGTATCTCTGCCGAAGCCACTCCACTGTCTCAGCATTCCCATTGACTTGAAACAGCCCTTGTTGCTCCAGACCTCCTATGTTAGTTCAAGGCAAGAATTAAGCTGCACCTTCAACTGACTAGCCACATATTCATATTCAGTCTCAACTTAAAATGCTCGTACTTTTGGAAAGCCTTTCTTGGCTCCCCAGAGTTAACTAAAAATCCAAATTGATCATCTGACACATACTATCTCTGAGGGATATTCTATTTCATCCCACCCTTTATATTCATTTTAAAATTTCCTATTATCCCTGCTGAAAATGTTCTCAGCTGGGCAACTGCCATTTCTAGGTAAATCAATTAAAGTAAAAATTTTTTTCTATTGTTTCTTAGCATTTATATTGTTCTTCATGCTTTGCACTATCCATACTATGAAAAAATTAAATCCAAAATCAAAAAGGGATAAATTGTGTTCATTACAACAAAAGCTAGCCCTCAAAATAAGGAAATGTATACCATGTTCCTCAATATAGTCCACAACGTGGCGGACTATGAACGGAACCTCATTGTCTGGATGTCCTCCCTGCTGCAGCTCATCAAGTGGAATTCCAAATATTTTGTTAGCAAGATCGGAGTTGCAGTTACTCAAGGAAGGGGAGGAGCTCTTCCTCATAGCTTTTTTGCAGCCAGAAATCAAAGCTGTCTTTTCTGCCAAATGAAAGACAAAAAAGAAAATAGAAAAAGGAAAAAAAAAAGACTATAATAATTAACAGGTGGCAATATGAATAAATACATTAAAGAAAAAAATGCTTTTACACCTGAATGTGCACTCGTCTATTTAAATATGTTCCAGTTATCAGGCCCATGATACAGCCTACAAATACATCTCAGTGTAATTACCTAAGTTTTTCTCTACTACAGAGTCTGGTCTGACTGAATGCTCTGTAAAGTCTGAACACTTTATCAGCATCAAACAAGTCATCCAAAACTTTTTAGAAAGTGACATTAAGATCCCAAGACAATTAGGGCCAAATGTGGCCCCAAGACTTTCATTCTGAGAGCATAGTGACAATGAAGTTTTTAGAGGAAGCCAAACCCAGTCCAACTCTGAACCCTGCAATATGAACCCGCAGGTCACAAACTGGGTAATCAGGAAAAGAATCTCCTTTTATAAACTGACGGCTGAGACATGGCCTCAAGCTTAGGATTGGCCTTAAACTCAAACCCTACTGCCTCACCTCCTGACTGCTAGGACACAGCCTTGTGTATCATTCCTCACTCACTAACAGTCATTGTTTATACACAAAGGCCTGATAGGAACAAGACTAATCATTGTTGTTTTTCAAGAAAAGATTTCTCTGCATACCTAGCCTTGGCTGTCTCCCTTTGTAGACTCCCTTTGTAGACCAGGCTAGCCTCAAACCCAGAGATTCACCTGCCTCTGGCTCCCAAGTGCTGGGATTAAAGGCGTGCATCATCACACTTCAACTTTATTAAGGAAAGAATTTCAGATCCTCAAGCTAGTCCAGAAGAAATGGTTGTCTTAATTTTGTAGGATGGAGATCAGTAAAGAAAAGAAATAACTCTCTCCAGTATCTGAAGCATTTAAATAACAAGTAGTCCAAATAATTAACTAATCCCAGTTAAAAAAAAACTGTTCTTTAAACAAAAGGAGAAAGGATTATCTTTAAAAGAAAGAAAAAATTCCAAATAGGAATACTTCAGACCAAAGGTAAATCCCCAGATTCTAAAGTTTAAAAAATTAAGATTGAATCAACTGTATTAGCTAGATCAAGGGCACCATATAGCATGACCAGGAAACAATCCAACCAATTTTCATGAATGGTAGAAATTGAGTTAGGAACAAGAAAATATGACTTCACAGTCTTAGAAAAAGAACATCTATTCTTTGATATACTTGTTATCAGCTAATTAATACAAAACCTCAAAGTTAATCAAATAGCCGCTAACTACATGAATCACTGCCAACAAAAAAATAAATGGAATAAAAAATTAGTAGCAGCTATAAACAGCAAACTCTAAAAGTCTTTGTGGATTTATAGAGCATTCCCACTAAGAAAGCTTACCTTTGAGTACTTAAACACCTAAGTTTAAAAAACGGCTTCTGCACCAGCTACCCTCACTGAGCAAGCATCTTTCTGTCATTTATGGTTGTTTGAGATTATGGCAGAAGATCAGCCTGTAGTTCCTCATTGAAGAAACGCAGAACTCGATCAGTACTTCAGCAGTTAATCTATAAAAAGAGAAAAAAACAACTATTTCAATTCTCATATCTTTATATGTGTTTGTGTATGGCCTCTATTGTTAATTTTTAAGAATAAGAATCCGTTTTATTTTTTAATAGAATTTCTCACTGAATCTGAAGCTTACCAGTTCAAGTAGACTAACCGGCCAATGAGCTCCAGGAAACACCTGGGATTTCAGGATCTAGCAACTATTCCAGATAGGTGCTGAACAAAATTCTTAAAAACAAACAAACAAACAAACAAACTAGGGTCTCATTATATAGACCTGGGTGGCCTCAAGCTCACAGGAATCATCCTGTCTCTGCCTCCCAACCAAATCTAATCATTCAAATGCACAAAATTTCTCAACTGTCTTCCACTGCCCAAAGCAGTGTATTTCGGGGGTAGGAAGATTTAAGAGCACATACATACATGTATCTTGTATTTCTAAAGCAGAGTTGTGAATGATATACTAATATACAACATACACAGATACAATACATTAAGAAACTTAAAAGGCTAGAGCAATGGCTCTCAACCTCCCTAATGCTGTGACTCTCTAACATAGTTCCTCTGTGGTGACCCCCAACCATAAAATTATTTCACTGCTACTTCATAACTATAATTTTGCTGTTATGGATCATAAAATAAGCACTTTACATGCAGAATATCTGATATGTGACTTCTAAAGGGGTCACAACCCACAGCCTGGGCTAGAGAGCTGACTCAGTGGGTAAAGGTACTTGCTGCAAACCTAATGACCTGAATTTGATCCTTGGGACCCATTTGGTGGAGAAAACCAACTCCTGAAAGTTGTCCTCTAACACCCTCCCCTCCCTTCTCTTTCTCCCTTTCTCTCTCTCTCTTCCATCTCTCTCACAAGAAAGATGGAAGGGGGGGGGGACACAGGGAAACAGATAAAATTAAAACTGCACTAAAGCTGAGTGTAATAAAGACACATCTGCCTTTGAGAGGCAGAGGCAGGTGGATAAGTTCGAGGCCAGCCTGGCTTACAGAGAGAGTTCCAGGACAGTCAGGGCTACAGAGAAACGAGGGAAAGGGAGAATGTGTTTGTGTGAGACGACAGATGCCAGAAGAAGACATCAGATCCACTGGAGCTGGAGTTTCAAGCAGTTGTGAGCCACCCAATATGGATTCTGTGAACCTAATTTAGGTCCTCTATGAGAGCAGCAAGTTATGAACCACTGAGCCATCTCTCCAACCCATCTTTTTGTTTCTGTCTTCCTAAAGACAGTCATACCATGTAGTCAAGACTGGCCTAAAATTCAAGATCCCCCTGCTTCAGCCTTCTGAGTACTGCAAAACCATACTTGGATAACATTTTTTTAATTTAATATAAAACTATAATGTACTTGTTTTCATCAGAAAAAGGTATTAGAGGAATTCTATACCTTACTCTAGACAAATGGGTTTCTAGAAATGGAAACTTGTCTCATTTTACACAGTTGGCAAAAAGTTCCTCTGGAGAAAAAAAAAAGAAAAGGAAGGTGGAGACTGAGGAGAGTTAAATGCTCACCCCACAATAAAGGAGGCCTGAGTTTCATCCCCAGCACCCATATAAAAAGTCATGCATGGTGGTACGGCCACATAATCACAGTGCTGGTAAGCAGATAGATCCCTGGGGATAGCAGACAAGCTAGCCTAGCATAATCTGCAAGCCCCAGTTCCCAGTGAGAGACTAGCTCAAAAAACAAAGTGGACTGCTCCTGAGAAACAATATTCCAAGTCACTTCGGCTTCAAATGAAAACTCACACAGAACACTAGCATCCATACCCATATGTGCACCTAAGTACATACAACCGTACACATGACATAGGCACATATACAAAAGCAGCACTAACATGCATAAGGCCATGGGCTTGATCCTGAAGTCCGCAAAATGAAAAGGGAGGGACTACACTTTGTTTTGTGAACTTTGAGCAAATCTCAACAACAAAGACTACTTCATTTTTTGTTTCCACTTCTAAACTAACCAACAGTAGAATCCAAGTATTTGAACTGATACTATCATTTCCAGTACTTTCCAGTTCACTACCCATCAGAATCCTTCAACCATCTGGTGAGATAAGAGGGAAAAGAGAAAAAGGCTCAGAGAGCTGACAAAACTGGTCAACTTCCAGGACTTGTAACTAATGCTGCAACTGACTCTGAAGTGGATGCCCTTTCTAGCTAACAAATACAGATCCCACTGAAACTGCTGCTTCAGTTTTCCGTAAAATGTATGAAGCCACAGCGTGATTCCAATTTGTTTAATGTGTCATGTGAAACGAGTTATTGCACTAAAGTGGCATGTATTATACTCTATTCCAAATCCTTCATTGTTCCGATTTCTAGTAAAATCCGTTACTCACAAATTAACCTTCTGTCCTCTCTTGGAGAAGTTCCAATGCACTCGAGTTTGGAGAACACAAATGGTAGGCAAGTTCACCTATACATTCCGTACTTCCTTTTTCTAGACTATTAATTCCTCCCACATTCTTGGCATGCTACAAAAATACTTTATTAACAAAGATATCTGAAAACTACTTATTGATTGATTGGTTTTGTTTTTCAGACATTGAGTGTTTCACTATATAGCCCTGGGTAGCCTGGAAACCAATCATACACAAGACTGACCTGGATCTTCTAGACATGCCTGGGAGTATTCTGCCTACAAAGTCCTGGGATTAAAGTGTATTACCCAGGTATGCCTTTTTAATACTGGTGTAACAGAAACAGACTCTTGGTATTGCTATATCTAGTCTAAATTTAGGCTGAGACATTTTTCCAAATATAAAGTCAAGCTGGGAGGTGGTAGTGCACATCTTTAATCTCAGCACTCAGGAGCCAGGGGCAGGCAAATCATTGAGTTTGAGGCTAGCCTAGTCTACAGAGCGAGTTCTAGGACAACAAGAGCTACAGAGAGAACTATCTAAAAATAAATAAATAAATAAAATATAAATAAATAAATAAATAAATAAATATAAAAACATAAAATCAGCTTCTTTGCTACTTCTCTGTAAAACAGATGCTATATAAAATTAATTTTCGCTGGGCGGTGGTGGCACACACCTTTAATCCCAGCACTTGGGAGGCAGAGGCAGGCGGATTTCTGAGTTCGAGGCCAGCCTGGTCTACAGAGTGAGTTCCAGAACAGACAGGGCTACACAGAGAAACCCTGTCTCGAAAAACCAAAATAAAATAAATTTTCAGTAATTCATTCATTTTCAGAAATGTTAGGTTAAAAATAAATACTTAACCCATATAGAAAATAAAAGACTATACCTACAACTCAACAAGGAAATAATTAAGTTAAAAATGGGTATAGATTTGAGATGTTTCTCCAAAACTATCAAATCTAAGTATGCTAGTTATTTGCACTTTGTCAACTTGACAGAGGCCAGGGTCATCTGGGAAGGCAGATGTGGAGAAGTCTATGGAACACTTTCTTGATTAGTGATTGATGTGGGAGAATCTAATCCACTAAGGTTAGGTACCATCCCAAAAGGTGGTCCTGGGTTGTATAAGCAAGCAGGGTGAGCAAAAGCAGCATTCCCCCATGGCCTCTGCTTCAGTTCTGCCCTGACTTCCTTCAACAAAACACTTCCATTAGTAAAGTGAAATGAGCCCTTTCCTGCCCAAGCTGTTGGTACTGGTGTTTTATCCCAGCAAGAGAAACCGAACTAGGGCAGTAAGCATAGAAAAGCTATCCTAGGGCCAGCGAGATGGCTCAAGTATATAAAGCACCTTTACTCACTGCCCCACAAGCCTGGCAATCTGAGTTCAATCCTCAGGACCAACAAAAAGGTGAAAGGAGAGCTTTAGAGAGCTCAAAGGATTGAAACTAGCAGCTCTCCAGGGGACCCAGGTTAGAGCACCCACACAAGCTGTTTAAATCATCTGTAATTCCAATTCTGGAGTTTTGGCCTCTAGGGACACCTGGCATGCACATGGTGCAGACTTACAGGCAGGCAAAACATCCATAAACATAAAAAAAAGTTTTAAAAAGTGGAAGGAATCAACTCCACAAAGTTGTCCTATGTCCAACCTCTACAAACCATGGCACAAAAACCTACACCTACACACAGGTAAAAACTATTTAAAGTTGCCTACTACCAGTCTTTAGAGAAATACAAATCAAAAGCACAGGAGAGGTAAAAATGTGACCCAGTAGATAAGAGTGCTTGCCTCAGAAGCACAAAGCCCTAGTCAGTCCCCAACCCCACAGAAACTGGCATTGCAAGCTTGTAACTTCAACACTGAAGGAAGAGGATCTGAAGTTCAAGGTCATAAACAATACCTAAATTCAACCGTCAGTAGCCCTATAAAAAGCCACACATCGCCTTTTTTTTTTTTTTCCCCTGGCAGGGGTTTTGGAATGGGTACACACACACTCTGGGCAAAACCTAGTGGTGTTATGAAGAAAAACCACTTGTTACAGCTGGATGTGGGGGTGCCCACCTGTAACGTAACCCCAGCACTCAGGTGGCTTCAAGACAAGTTTTTGAGTGGGGCCAGCCAGGAATATATAGAGAGAACATCTCAAAAATTAAAACTGTCAATTGTGAAATGGTAAATTTTATGTATATCATTTGAAGATTCTAGAGAAGACTTAAGGAGTAAAAGCACTTGCCACCAAGCCTGAGAGACCAAGCTCTCCCCCAGAAGCCCCCCCATACAGAACACACAAACAATAAACAATTTAAAACATTAAAAAAAAAAAAAAAAAGAATTTGAATCCTAGTGTGATGGTGCATATTTTTGATCCCAACACTTGGGGGGGGGGGGGAGGATCAGGAGTTGGAGGTCATTCTCCCTCAGCTGGATAAATCAGACTTCCATGAGACCATGTCTCAAAATAAAGTTGTCGTTTTATTGTTGAGGAAATACTGGTAAATCATTCTTTAATTCAGCCACTTTTACTTTATCCAATGAAGATTATAGTCTACATACTGCAAGGACTTCAACAGTGTTAGATACCTAACTGGTAAAACTGGAGAAAGTATC